CACACACACACACACACACACACACACACACACAAACCATAATTCGTGTTTGCTCGGACTAACATCGAGAAACAGAAGAGGTTGTTTCTGAACCTTAGATTAATTTGTGTCTACCCTTTCCAACACACAAAAATTCTGACCTTTCTTGAGTTTTAACTTGTAGGCCTACTGTTCCATTTCCATTCTCGTTGCGTTTACGGCTTGTCATACACCATTGTCAACTCAGCAGTGTTAGTAATAGACACAGATTAAATAACAAGGTTGTTTCCAATGTACGTTGCTTATTTAATTTTTTTCACACTACACTACATTATTGTCGGTTGGTTGAGAGTAATTTTATACACTCTATGCTTATGATAGAATCCATCAACACACTTTGGGTTGTATAGACCATTTTCAAGGCGGGTTGCTTCAGCCTTGCCTGCTAGGGATAATCCGGGATGAGAGTGATACAACCTTAAAGCAGGTTAAAATGAAGATATTCAATAAATAGGCTACCACAAGTGGGCATTTAACTCGCAATTCTAATACTATCACATGCTGAGTAGGTCACGTACAGCAGCATTGATGCCAGAACATCACATACCCCCCCCCCCCAAAAAAAAAGAAAAACAATATTTGGCGAACTACAACAAGCAAATAGGCTACTCTACTGAAGGCTGGAAGAAGTATTTCAAAGACAGCCTGAAAACTTCCCCCGAATGCCTTCAACATCAGCGACACAACATGAAAGCAGGTTGCCCCGGACAGACATGAGTGGCTATCAGTTGTGCCCAAGGACACAGCCGAGATCAGTGAAAGCAATGTCATTGCTGCAACTGAGCAGCACAGGCCACAGGATTACCGGGAGGACCAGTGTCAACAGATCTCCAACTGCTGCCACTACCCTCTATCCGCAGTGTGACAGAATTATCCGGGTCAGATAGGCCTGACCAGCCATCCACGCACTCATCCCTTGATGACTAGAGTGTCTTTGTCGCCTCGAAAAATAAACAACAATTACAGCAACAGTAACAGAAAAGAAACTTAAGGCAAACAACACAATTTGGAAACAAAGGTAGGCTACCACAAAGAACATTGGAAGGGAATTCAAATAAAAAGTCACCAAGGATTTACAATAATGAATTTTATTATATTATGGTTCCCCAATACACATCATGTAGCAAATACAAGGTTTTTAACTTTGGCATCATATGTCCAATATTTCAAAATGACAGAAGAAGCAAACACAATAAACAAACGAGTAAACGCTCCTATTCTGATGCACAGATATTTCTAACCTTGTATTTGGATAACTGAGGCTGTTTACTATCTGTTAAGCAGGTTTAAGAATCTCTTTTTTTTTTCAGTGGTAGCTGTACTAATGAAGTGAATTTGATCGAAGTTCTGAACTTTGCCACCAAAGATAATACCCACATCTAACCTATCAAAGAAAGGTTGGTTAATGTCTCGATAACAGTGGCAAAGTTTTTTATTTTCTAAAACATAGGTATAATTATTCTGATCATACTTAATTTCTGTTCCCTTTGAACAGAAATTTATCACATTACAAAGATATACCCATACATCATGTGTTTATATCACAAAACTAATGTCTGTGTACAAATAAGTCAAAAGCAATACAATCACGAAAAACACAATGGCTAGAATTTTCCAGTTGAAGTCTGAAGTTGCTTATGCAAGGTCCACATATTTTAATGTTGTGACTTAATTAACAAGTCTAATTTCAAAGCATCTTACTACCCATTTAAAGTTTACAAAAACATTTTAAAATGTGTATGAATGATGAAATATTGAATGAAAAGCAAAAGGCACTTTTTTTGTACACCTTGCAAGCATGTGTCACATTATTAGTTTTTGATTTAACTTAGTCCTGCCTACGATTCCTTTTACACAAGTAAGCACCACAAGGCCTCCAACTCTCTTGACCTGGGAATCATTCACAACTGAGAAGAACTCTGACAACAAAAGTGGCTCCTTTTGTGAGAATGTCTGATGCAAAAGTTAAGACAAGAGTCAAATCTCATTTCAGTAAATCAAGGAGCTGAACAGGGACTTCTATATATATTGATGGAAGACTTTCTTCGTTTTCAGCCATAGGAAAAAGAAATTACAGTGGAGTCCACTTATAACGAGTCCTGAAATAACGAGAAGTCTATTATAAAGACACTAGTCTAAAACCCCCTTTTTTTCCCTTCTTTATCTTAGTAAATAAAATACTGCTGTTGCGCCATCAGACAGTCACACGAGTCGGTTATAACAGAATATTGCTGCTGCTGCGCACAGCGCACAGACCAATTAACCAGAAAAAAGTATTAAAACCTCGCCAGTTGAGAAAGTCGTTGGTGATCCAGCGAAACAAAAAATGGGAGAGCCCACGCGAACCAACAATGAAGGTGGCAGCGAAGGAGTGGGGAGGGCGTGGCATGCGCAGACAAGCAGAACGCATCGCGTGATAGGCCCGCCTAGTCTAGATTATCTAGGCATAGCCTACCGTGCCTCTCACTTCTCTGGTGCGGGAAGGAGATGTCACAATGCTGTTATATGGAGTGAATGTGTGACATGCGCAAGCAGACGCAACGCACCACAGGGTGTGGTGGGGTGGGGTGGGGGACACACAGCGGGCGAGTTAGCCTAGAGCCAGAGCCCATTCTTTCTGTCCGCCAACACCGAGCTGTCAACATTGCTAGTGCTAGAGAAAGAAACCTGATTCGATTTTTGATCAAGTAAGACCTTGAGAGAAAGTTGAACAAAATCACCATCAGGGGAAATACAAAAAGTTATAAACAGAACACCAAACTCATAGATTAGGCCTAATTTACTATTTCCCTTTCATTTATTACTGGATCCCTTTTAACGAGAATCCTGCTATTACGGACAGTTCGCACCAGTCCCCTCCCTCTCGTTATAACAGGATTCCACTGTATCTGCTCTGAAGGAGAAGTCTTTGAGCCCACCATAAATAACATACTGTGAACATGAGAGCACAAGTGATCCTGCCTTCTCCAGTGAACTGTCATCCCACAGGGTAGAAAAGGACACGACAACTGAATTTTGGCCAAGTATGAAATTATGTCTGATAGTCTTGAACATTTGTTCTTTTCTAAAAGAAAATAGCACAACATAAAGGACTGAGGGTACTCTTCATTTAAAGATAGAGGCTATTCAGTCTCAGGTTGTAATCGAATGTAATAGTAATAGAGAGTATAGAACAATGGAATATTAATTCTTTTGGAGCAATGAATGACCTCAAAAGAGAATCAAATAAATAAGCCTTGTTTTTTTGCAAGGCAAATTTTTTTTTAAATATGCAATGAAAGATATTCGGTCCTAATGGAATTTCATAAATGCGAGCTAAATCACAAAGACTTCAACACATCAAAAAACATCAACTAAAAAGGTGAATTTCAAACAGAAATACTTCTTTTTAACTGACTAAAAAATATTCCCTTTTTTTAAGACTGAAACTACTGAGCTAAAAAAATTCAACTATTGACACCAAAAAGCATGCTATCCAATGTTCCATTTTGTCTTTTATTAGGATTTACATAATTAAAAATAGAACTAAGTTACTGAAAGACAAGTTCAATATATGCAACAAGAATACAAAACTTGGGAGATTTTGGTTTAATTAATCATATATATTTCTGAGCTAATGCTGAGCTTTCCCTGAGAGTAGCAACATAGCAGCATATCTACTTGTATAGAACTTTTGAGATATGTTCAAGCCTAGGTGTTCCCTCCATTATGACCAATAAACTGCCAAGCATGGCAGTGAGCTCAATAAAACTCAGGCTCAAAGAAGTTGCAGTCTCCAGTCAGCATGAGGTGGCAGACGCGATCTGGGTTGATCCTGTGGGCGTAGTCGACGTACAACTGCTGGTTGACAAAGACCTGAGGAGAGAGATGGAGTATGAAACATGAGCGGGTAACTGGGAGCAAGTAGAGTCTTAATCCCATCACATTAAGACTATGGAGTAGACATGCTCAGGGGAGGAAAAAGGGTAGTCTTCAGCAATGCAAAGTCAAAGACCTATCAGTGATCCCAGTTTACAAGACATATCTGATGGAATTATTTAACTGACATTAAAAATCAATCAATTTATCACCTGGTTTAAATTTGTAGTGCAAATCTGGATATTGTAGACTCCTGTATCACCAAGAGCAGAGTATAGAATGTTCAAAACAGCTAGAATTTTAAAAGTTTCTGGAAAAGTCTCAGCAATAAAGTTTAACGAGCTTTACATTTACCATATCAGCATTCCTTGAGCAACACTTACCCTATATGCATCGGGCAATCGTAAAATGTTAATCTCGAATCTGTCTTCTGGCTCAAAGGGGAAGTTTGGCTGTTCTCTCTCCTCCTCGCCCCAGTCTCCGCACTCCAACGTGTTGCGGATCGAGTCCTCTCCGCTGAATCGAGGGTTGAAGTGGAAGGCGACATCACTCCCGTACTCGGGGTCATCCCCACACTGCAAGTTGATGGCGAAGGAATCTGCCTCCTTTTTGGGTGTTCCGATCAGGGAAATCCATGACCCTGGGTCAAGGTTTCCGGGCAACTTATCAACAAAAGGTCTCTCCTGGACATAAGAAATATTATGGTGAGAACGTTTTTGTGATTATCTCAATGTACAGTTTTTATGCAGGACATTAATAAAGCAAGAACAAAACTGCAGGAGAAGATTAAAAGCACCACCACAAAGTATTCTAAATAGACAGAAACTATGCAGAGATCAGTAACAATAGAGACAACATTTACACAAGTTGGATGCATAGTCAGTGCTAATTGTGATGCAGCAAAACATTGGGGGGAATAGGAAGAAAATAGACCAAAGTTAGCTTTAGATCAGTAAATAAAACAGGTGTGGCACAAAGTAAGCCTTTGCCTTTAGTCTAGAGACCTGTATCACTTTAACTTCAAATGGGACAAATTACAGTATACAAAAACTTCTTAAACTCAGTATAGTATAAAAAAAACATTTAGTTTTCAGTTGTAAGTAGAAAGAGATTTTGGCAGTCCAGTGACTGTGTAACAATAGTATGACCCATGATCATGAGTTCAGTTCAGACACGTCATTAGTTTGACATTAAAATTCCACTGGAAACTTGAAGTTTTCAAGAAATTTCCCCACAGAATGATGCTATATAGCTTTGCCTTTGATTTCAATAAACAGCACTGTGGGCATACCCTATAAGTTATATAACTGATAAAAGGAAACGTACCACTCTCCTCAGGATTTTAACTTCATAGATGTAGGCTTCTCCTTGAACATTGATTCCTTTGATGTCTTCGACATTTCCTCTGGCTCTGAAACTGGTCAGTTTGCGGCCATTGACATAAATCTGAAACATAAGCAGAATAGTCAGAACAGAGTGAAAAAATCAATAATCCACATGACCTATACTGTGAACAAAATTATTTTCTTAACGGGAGCAGCAACCCTAGAGAACCATTTTCTATGTTTGTTGCCCGAGATCAAATCTAAGTACACATATAAGTTAGGCATAGTAAAATCCTTTGATACGCAATTTTATTTTGGTATATCTACAGCAGTTGTTATGGAAACGTCCACCATCTTGAAACTAAACAATGAATTTCAAATCCCTAAGGCTTTCTTCTTTACAAACCAAATTTGACCCAATTTGGAGAGAGTATACCTGAACCAGTCCCTATCAGAGTAACAGCAAGTTTTTTTCAATAAATGCAAAAGAAAAAAAAAAATGAGAATTTTCCCAAAGAATAAAAACACTTCTTCTAAATTTAGGTTGCGTAGTCGCTTGCCAATGGAAAAGTTTTTTTTTTTTCACAAATATTTCTCTGTTACATTGATGGCAGCCTTGCCAACTATGTCTCCTGAAAGTTTCATGTCAAAAGGACGAAAACTAAGGAAGGAGTAGGTAAAAAACTGAACAAAAAGTACATTTTGTGAAAACCGACAACAATTGTGAAAATTCACTATATTAATCCATCCTCATGTTTTCAAAGGCAATTCACGAGGAGAATAAAGACTTTCTCCATTGTTTCCATGATATTTTTAGACAAAGAACTGGTTGACCTTCAAAAATCAGCCAACATCCCAATGTACATAGCCTGATCCAAAATCTGCAAAATCAAGGGTCGCTCCTCCCCTTAAGATATATATTTTCAATAATAACACAATTTTTCTATACCACAGTACAGGTTTACTTTATTGTAATTTGGAAAATTTGCAATAACTTCTTAGAAGTACATTCTTAAAATAAAAACTAACTCAAATATTAAAACTGGAAAGGAAAAGAAATGGATGTACGCTGTCAATATCTATTTTATTTGATATAGTCTGGAGAAAAAACTCAGACTCAATAAATTATCACACACAAAAAAAATGATTTATGCTCCAAATAAACAAGTAAAAGTCAATGACCTTGAACTTGTTTTTCTTGACAACGATTTCCACTTGAAAGGGTAACATCTCCACAAACGGGTGTGGCAGATCATGTCTTTCCTCTTCCTGCCAGTCGCCATCATCCTTGCTGTTGAGAATTACCTCCCCTTGATCACGACGCGGGTTGAAGTGAAGGCCAACATCATCATCCATAGACGTGCCATACATCAAGTTGATGGCAAACCTGACATGCAAAGAGCAAGACAAAAAAATAATAATATATTTCTGAACTTCTAGAAGTACAACACTACTCAGGTGAGTTCCATATTGTTTTGAAGAAAAGCACCCACAAACTCATGAGTGAACAAAGGTATAGGAAAAGGACATGAATGTCATTCATCTGCGCAAGATTGAGTTTCAGTAAAGAGAAGCACATAGACACAATAACGGTCATATAGTGCGTGGAAAAAGTAAGACAGATGGACAGAAACAATGGGGGGAAGGAAAAAAAGTAGGACCTACCAGCGACGTCCTCAAACCACTCACTCTCAGCATGATCACAATGAAGTCCCAAAAGTTTGGAGTTATGGTATAATGGTAGATTAGAGGAAATGCTTTTGATATTTTAGTATGTTGTGCACAGTTATAAAAACATCAACCAGATTCCATGAGAAATTTAGATACACAACATAGTAAACTGAATTTACATTGTTACTCCTCAGAGACATACAACTTTCAAAGAGTAAGAGAGTAATTTATGTCATCTCAATACGTCATATTTTACACTCTTTAACCCTATCAGTACGTCGTATTTTACTATTGTATCCATACGACGAGGGGAACTCTGTGCCACCACTTTCCAAAGAGGAAATTTACTCGTTAATCCGATCCGTACGCTTTGCATAGCAATCTGTCAAAATGAGTTTTTGAGAAATACTGAAAGTTTCAAAGAGATCTTCCTACTAGAAGTTTGCTAAAATGTGAAGAATACAACCCCCGGGGTATAAAATGACCTCACGGCGTACGAAGAGGGTTAAGGTCTTACAATGACAATTCAACAAATCTATTGTGGTCTTTGACGAAAACAACAAAGAAATGAAGAAAAATAAATAAAGTCCTCCATACCTGTTTCCTTCTGGATAGAAGAACCCTTTTGTAACAATCAGGTCACTCTTCTCCAGCCCAGATGGAATCTCTTTGATATAGTCTCCAGGCTGAAAAGTTGACAATAACACAAATAAAAAATAATTCTGATATTTCTGACATAAATTATTACTTTGCAATTTTATTTCTTTATCTAGATAATGTTTAAATATCACTCACATAAAATAATCACCAAATGGTTAAAGGAGAGCCCAAGGTTGGGGTATCACCTAATGAGCAGGGCAAGAGTCATCCAGAAAATAAATACAACTGAATAGTGAAAGACTGAACAGAAAGAGACGAAATACAGTCAAACCAGCTCTAAAGGCGACCTATTCAAGGCAATCACTTGTAAAATGACAACTTGCCCACTTCCTCCATTGCGTTTTTATTGTAATTAATAAAATGACACTGTCTGAGACATTTACCTAAGACAATCAATTTTATCTTCAACAATTGGTGGCCGTCTTGGACAATTTGGAATATAGGCCTACCACCTACACATAGATATCTAGGTCTATAAAAAAGCTATTAATGGCTTAAGTTAAGGTCTAAAATATAAAAACATTAGAGGAAAAGACAAAGAAAAGAACTGATCAGGGAAAGAATAAACATGGAAAGACATTTTACAGTGGCAAAACACTCATCTTAATATAATTCAGTAGCTTTTGTCTCACATACCAAAGGATCTGTAAACTCTACATCCATGAGTGTAACATCTCCTTCAATGTCAAGGAAATAGATGTCCTCAGGCTGGACACGGAAGTCATATGAGGTGAAGTACTTCTCGTTGACATAGATCTGAAAAATAATTTTCTTTCATTTAGACCCCAAATGTGTATCACATATTTCACAGCAAAATTAGAGAAGACAATATCAACCATTGGGTCAGATCAAACAAAGATTCATGAGGAGGATAGTATCCCTATTTGGCTAGGGTCATTCTAGAGTGGCAGGCAATGACCATGCCTCCAAAGTAACTATAGCAGCTGTGGAGATTAGCAGGCTAATGCTCCACAAGACCACAGGCTTATTTTCCCTCAAGCTTGGTTGTAATTGTTTTACATTTTCATCAATACAATATATCATTAAGCTGGCGAGCTGCTCTGATACCCTGCTTGTAAAGGCCCACCTAGGCTGAGAGGGAAACAGGCTCCAATAAGATAGCGTACGTAACTCCATAAAATAAAACCTTACCCTTGAGAGAATCAAAATCATGTCTGCTGCGTGAAACAGCAATCAGCTTCACTTTTACTCCACAGATACTATTTTTTTTCCTTAAGGACCATCTTTCAAGAAAAAAAGCAGATATTGAGTTCCGTACACTTATGATCATCATAGAGAACAGCGCAACTTGTGGAATATGCAGTCAAAAGCAAACTTGGAGCACCGTCAGGAACAATCAGTTGACCTATGACAAGGACAACTCATTGGAGTGAAGAGCAAGTATAGTCTAGTAATCTTTGAATCTCTGCAGTAAAGTAACTAAAGTAACTATCTCTATAATCACAAAGACCTTGCTCTGGAGAAAATCTAGGTAATTCGCTACCTTAGAATTACAAAGTTCTATCTAAATTTTTAGTTGCTTTGAGTTACTAAGACCATGAGGTCAGAAACCAACTGCTCTATCAGAATTGTAAGATTATTCAGAGTCGTTACCAAGATCAAAGAATTGCATTCGAAACAGCTTGACATTTTGTGCAATCCAAAATTTTTTAGGTCAAATTTCTCAAAACTAAGTACTGAAAAGAGAGAGCTTTGTAATTCTAGGGTAGTGAATTGACATAAAAGTCAGACAGTTGGGAGTCATTTATCCTAGGTCTGGAACCTATCAAAGTCAAACCTGAAATTGCTGACCTATTATCACCTGCTTTTTGTAGTAATTAAATAAAATAATCAGACAGTCAAGGAATTAGACAGTCCTTGTTCAATGTCAAAATTCAACTTCTTTAAAAGACGATTCAAATGCACAATGTACATTGCCCATAATATTCTATATATTTACTAAAAACTCACAATACAGGACACAAAATTATTTTTGGATTCCTTACCATGAAGCGGCCATCCCATGCAATGAATAGTACATCGAAGAACTGACCACGATGAAAGGGAAACCAGCCCTGACCTCTCTCTTCCTCTTGCCAGTCTCCCACTCTGGAGTTGAGGACAACGTCCTCTTGATCAGGTCTTGGGTTGAAATGCACACCTACAGTCTCACCATCAGGGTCAGCGTTGAAGTTAATAGCAAACCTAAGACATAACAAAGTAAAGGAACCTGGACAATGTTGTATTAAACTTCATGATTGTAAATTTCCTGAAAAAAAGCCAGGGTTCACTTCGACACAAACTGAAACACAAAATGTTGCCACGTCATGATAGCCTTGAAAATCTTCACAATTTAAAAAAAACTGTTTCAGCTCCTATTACTGGGTTTTCAACCAGAATGACCATAGACCAGTATCCTCGTCGCATCGTACAGGCAGTCCTTTCAAGACAAAAGATAAGATAACTCTTGTTAAAATGTGCACGTAAGAAAATATGTTCAACTTTTCTTGAAACAAGGTTTCATTTTCCAAGCAAACACTAAATTAAAAAGTTTCTATGTTAGCAAAGCTGATATATTTGTTAGAATAAAATATTCTCGCCTCTCAGTGATGGGTAATATGTGCCTTACAAACACAGAAAGCTTCCATGGTCTTGCCTGTCAGACCTAATAGACGGCGCCCACTGGACGATCGATTTGGTTCTGTTTGATTTCTGGTGGCTTCAGTGCACACTATATAAATGGACCAACTGACCAAACTGATTGCTCGACATGAGGCCTTGACAGGTGCATATGTATTTACAATACCTCAGAAAATTTCTCTTTGCGGAGATCAGTTAACTGTTTTCTTATCTTATCTTATTCTATCTTCTTAATTACCACAATTTCTTGCAACTTACCTCTCAGCATCGTCATTGACATATCCCCTGACCCGGAGAGCCTTGCCCATCTTAAGACCACCGGGAAACTCTCCCCTGTAGGGAACTCTCTGAGGACAAAAGTGGATGTATAGATAGGCATGACAACAACAATATCAGTGGCATGTAGGCTACTTTCAGGTACACTGTACAAGTTTTGTTTACTTCAATGGAATGGATTCTCTTGAAGCTGTCATGGTAGTTTTGTCAAGTTGACAGCATAAATAAAATCAACAGAAATGAGAAAAATGAAAAAGAAGAGTAAGATAACAGCTATGCAGTACACTTCAAGGATGCCTCTACTGAGTTTTAATAAATGTCAAAACAAATTTACCAATTACCCACAATGTTTTATCAAAACTGCAGTTCATGAACTTCAGCTCTTTATTTGGCCCAAATGATCTTGAACTAAAGGAAATAGATTGTGCCACCTAATTCCTCTGCATGGAGAAAATATTATTAGAACAGGGTTTCATTTGTAATTTATTTTTATGAATATTATTACAATTAAACATAAAATCAAATTTTACAAATTACGATATGTACAATATGCATACATTTCATACATATGCATAATATTCATAATATCACATCATTCATGCTCAATAAACGATTTCTGTTAAATATACTTCACCAAATAAATGAAACAGCTACACAGAGTTAGCATGAACAAAGAAAAAATTCCTTCAACAAAATACTTTTTTTTAAAGAGGGGCTCATTTTGCAATATTCACCATCTTCAGTAAAACCATTAAAGGAACTAAAGACACACACCACACAAATTATCTTTTAAGAGCTTTTAATACACTGAACTATTCTTGACTATTTGAGAAGAATTTCTTTGTCTCTTAAAGCCTGTGTATCAGTGTAACAGTATTAGCCTAAGTAAAGGTTGTTTTGTCCAACAAGAAATATGTAACCTTATGATGACGCAAACACAAATTTCATTTTTGGTATCATACCATTTCTTTCCAAAAAGAATTCTTAAAAATCCATCCACGCCACGTGCTCATAATGAAAGAGGGATGTTTGTGACAATGGGATGTATTAAGAGGCTACAAGAAATAAATATAATAACTGCAACAAAAAACTATTACTGCTAAACGGTATAATAATATGATCTACAATAAAACTAAACAAAATGAGTTGGTTGTCACTTTCTTCTATTTTGACGCATCATTATCATACACAAACAGTCACAGGGTCAAAATAATCAATGTCCTGGCCATCCCTTTTAGACAATCTGCATAAATTTTAGCAGGTCTTTCATCAATTCCAAAAAGTAAACTGTCCCCAAAAAGCCAAACACATTTCTTTGACCAGTTGCTGAGAAGTCGGTTTCCACTTCTGATTATAACCTTTGGCCAAATTGTGGGGGTTTTTTTCAGACTCCCCAACTTCAATTTTCAGTTAAGGTAACTTAGGAATAAAAGCCGCTGGACTAATGAGAGTTTACAAACTCATTGGATTTGGAGAACATCTTTCTTTTGAAACTGATACTTATATGGCTAAATATGACAACTCACTCGCATGACTTGATTATGTTGTGATATATAGATCCACGTACTGATTCCACAATAACAAAGAAAGATTTTTAGTTCCACTCATAATGATCTACACACAGCATAGAGATGGAAAAAGAAATGTTTCTATATTCAATTTATAGTTATAGATGATTTATGCTCCAATCAACACAGCTCATGTCATTTAGGAGGCAGGTTGCTTTAACCCTGCGCACCAATAACCCAGGCTGAAAAGGATTTAGCTTTCAACAGAAAGATGAAGATATGCAATCAATAAAAAATCTCACACTGGAACTGAATGCTTGTCTTCTATACTGCAAGTGCAAGGTGTCCAATTATTTTCACCTGACTTTATTTTTTTTTAAATTCAAAAGATTGATATCTTGTCGAATGCCGTAAGTAACATAGAAAAGAATAAAGGACCTTTACTTTATAGTGAGTTTGTACAAAATGTTCAAATTTCATCCTAACCAACAAGAGGACGATAACACTGAAGAAAAAGGGGAAGGAGCAGATCATAATGGCCCCACTTTTTTACTTAAGAAAATCATTTGGAGGAAAATGAAAGAGCAGGTGATGAGAGATGACAGAAATCAAAACAACTAATAAACGCATTTTAAAAAATAGAAAGACAATAAATACGAAAGAAGCAAAAACTATCGAGGGAGAAGGCAGAGGAAATGTAGGAAGGAATAAAAATGAATAACAGGTTGTGGAAAAGGGAGGGAGGGGTAGCGATTGAGAAAGTGGGAAGGGAAGAGAGTGAGTGAAGAAGAATAAGTGAGTTAGACAGAGAGAGAGAGAGAGAGAGAGAGAGAGAGAGAGAGAGAGAGAAAGAAAGAGAGAGAGAAAGAGAGAGAGAGAGAGAGA